CTAATTTTTATTTTTTTCTATATCTTAATTTATGAAATTTTTATATGACCAGTTCAATCATTAATTCCATGTATCTACCAGTTAGCATATTTCAACTTTTAATAAAATTATATCAGACCGCAAATTAAAAAAAAAAAAAACACAACTAATAATTTCAAATTCTTTGCTCGTTTGATATCAATTTCAGTGAAATGTTTAAACTTGTTAACTTCTCCATGCTGAATAAACTTGAAGAATTATGAATTCATCAGCACGATTTTTCCCAACCGAATTATATGCTAACCATTATCGAGTATTATGCTTTTGAAGTTGTTAACTTTTTCAGAAAAAAAATTTCATCCCAATTTATTACATTTTGCTTAAGAATATTTTCTATTTTCAAAATAAAATTTGCCGGTAGTTTTAATATTTTTTTTTGTTATAGTGTCACTTATTGTGCTAATTAAAAGAACGCTGATGTTTCTTTTTATAATTCTGATAAAATAAGATTATGAAAGAAACAAAGAATTAACATAATTAATTCAATCAATGAATTTTATATTTATGCATGCATGCGCAAATGTCTGGCACTTAATAGGATGTTTTCAAAAGGAAATTTGAAAAATCCGAAGGAAAAACAACAGCAACAGAAACAAAGACAACAGCAACAAGAGCGCCAACTCCAACAATCACAAAACCAACAACAACAACAACAACAACAACAACAACAACAACAACAACAACAACAACAACAGCAGCAGCAGTATCATCAACGAGAATTTCAACTTCAACAAGCTCCGCAACAACAATCAACAACAAAAAAGGAGGAAATTAATATTAATTCAGGACGAATCAGTGAACGTTTGATAATTCGTACAACAACGTTTACAGGCCAACGATTACGATATACTCGACCTTTCCGATCAGCTGAACCACGATCATGTCATTCAAAACGTTATCAAAAATGTCACTCTGATGGTACTTCTCATCTCTCCACTCTGAGAAATTTCGTTGAAAATCACCCGATAACAATGAACACTCGAATCGATCGGACGTTTCAATCAACTTCGTCCATAAATGATCCGTGTGATTTATTTGATAAAAAAGACTATAAAATATTTACAAAAGCCTTATCATCGAAAAATTTTGTTTCAAATAATGATGGAAGTAAAAGTAATGAGAAATTGATTGCTTCCAAGCGTGATAACCTATCGATTGATAAGAGTGGTGGTAAAAACACCGCTTATTGTTCATTTGCTCAACGATTTCGAGAAATGAAACCGATAACTTACGATTGTCCAAAGAAGATAACTTCAATATTACAGTCCGGAATGGCCTCTACTGTACCGTCGACAATAACTACTTTAAATAGCGACAAAAATTCATCACCAATATTCAAAAAATCTCGACAACAAGTTAAGAAGAGTGGCGTTTTCTACAAACAAACACAATCATTACCGCCACTGATTGCAAATGATAAAGGTATGCTTTGAAGATAGTGGGGTTGCTGAGTTGTAAAGTTACCATGTTCCAAAAAAATCTTAATTATTTTATGCAATTCCATATTTTAATATGATATTCAGTCAATTAATTGCTAATTTTTATGATAATTTTATTGCCATAAAAAAGTAACAATTAATTAGCGAAATATTTTTGCCAATTAAAAATACAAATGATCCATTTACTAAGTTTAACAATCAATTATTTTCAATTTAAACTGCTTTTAGCAATTTTTTCAATTTTTAAAATTTTTATTTCAGATTAAATTAACGGAATAATTTTTTCGCTGCATGTTCTTGAATTGATATAAATTTTGAAGCATTTTTTTTTCAATTCTTTGCATTTATTAGTAATTGCTATGACTTTCCCTTTTTTCCCATAACTATAATGGTAACTATTAACTCATTAATTAATTTCGTAATATTATTACATCTTTCTAGTGCTCAATGCTTATTTATTCGTACTTATTTATTCGAGAATTCTTTTATTTACCTTATTAATTTCTTCTGTACAGTGGTTTATCAGGTACAAGCACATTGCATTATTTCAAAATTCTTTCAATATATCGCACATTTTCAATTTCTAACGGTGCAAATTGTATTGAATTATACTTTACATAAACAAATTGTATCAATTGATGAGAAGTAAAAAATAATAAGCGCACAAAAATTATTATATTTCAATTAAAACCACCGGATGATTAAAAAATAAATTGTACGAAAGAAAAAAGATTAAAAAATAAATTGTGTTGAAGATTAAAAAAAAAATAAAATAAAGATTAAAAAATAAATTGTGTTGGAAATCATACTGAAATATTTATGCGTCATTTAATTAATCATGTTATTGCAAATTGAGTGGAAGATTATAAGTTAAATATTACATTAAGTTGCAATTTATCAGACATCATTTCCATTAATTTTGGAGAAATAAATTATAACCATATGTTATTGACGAAAAGTTAGAAATGTATGGAAATAATTTAAACGAATTCATTAGAAGGTGATGTAATTTAGGTTGAATATCACTTTGAAACGCTTTCATCTTGTTAAGTCAATTAACTAATTGATTAATTAATTTATTACATCAGTGTAAATTAGATGGCAGGTTATAAATTAAAAACCATACTAAGTTGTAATTTGTAATATATTAACTGACATGGATAACAACTAATTTTTTTGTTACATGAAATATTATTAAAATCATTCATATTTTTCCCGGAAAAATAATTTCTCTAATAAATTACTAATTGAAATAATTAAGCACGATGAGAGGTAGAATATGAATAAGCTAAATTTGCATATTGATTGAAATTTTTTTTTATATCAAATGATAATAAACAATCATTCATTAATTTCTTGTAACATTTCAATCTATAAGCAATGAATGGCAAAAGAGAAAGTTAGAAAGCATTCATTCATTTACAAAAACAAATATTCTAAAAATAAATTCAATATAGTATTCAATTTGAACCTTCTCTTTGATGTAGAATACAAAAAATTTACATTTGGTTTATCTTTCAGTCTCTCCTGTTAGAAATAACTAAACATTTGAATTATTAATTCTTCTCGAAATGTATGAAATAACTAAAAGATTGAATGATCGAAAGATTGAACGATAAACAAATACTTTTAAAAAAAATATTTTTACTTTATACAAAACAAAATGTCAAATAAATAAATAAATGAGTACAAAATATTACTTTAGGAATTTAATAGAGGCTCTAATTGGAATTAGTTGCAAGAATTCTTAGCTTATGCTTAAGACTTGTGATCATAGAATTTAGCGAAGGAATGTTGCATTTTATTTTCAGGATCCAAAGGTTAAGGGTCAAGTAAAGTTATTGTTATTATTACAATAAAAAAACTAAAACAAAAATGTAAAAATTAGTGCAAAAAGTTAAACCTGTTTATTGCCGTAAATTTTTTGTTCAAATAAATTTTTTCAGATAATTTTAATATTTCATTTTTTGATGCATTTTATTTCAAAAATTGCTGTTTCAGGATCTTTATTTTTTCCATTAACAATTCCTATTCATTCGCCCTTTAATTTAATAAATTTTTTTTTTAGAAAAAGTTTGAAAAAGAAATGATATGAAAATGATGTAAAATTTTTTTCTCTTATTGTCCATATACCACTTACACAAAGTAATATCACTGAAAATTTTCGTAGTGCTAAATTTTTTTTTATTTTCGAAATTAATTGCATTTTAAAATTTATTACCAAACGAAATCTTTTTTGAAGAAATAAAAAAACAAACTTGCATAGTTATTCATTTTATATTGGCAATTTAACAAAACAATTTCATCGTTTGCTTTTTAT